CGCAGCGGCGCGGCCTGGCGGCGGCGCTCGGCCCAGATCTGGGCCCTTCGGGCCCCACCTTTGCCTGGGCTGGCCGGCGGCAGGGTGGATCTGCGGCGTGACTCCCGGGAGGCGGGGGAGCAGCGATGAATGGCGGGGTGCTGGCGTCGGTTGCTGCAGCATGGCGTGCGGGGCTTAGCGTGCCTGTTTCGGGCCTGGTCGGGCCAGGGGTGGCTTGGTATGCCCCGCTGCCGTGTCTGGACGGCTACCACGACAGTGTGGGAGGCGCGAGCCTCTTGCACGACGGCGGTGAAGGTGGTTCCCTCCCGCTCGGCCTTGGTGCTGCTGCTCCCGTCGCTTGGCTCTTCCCTCCAGTCTTCTTGGCCTCGTGTTGGTGCTCGTAGTGAGACGGCGTGGGTGGCGGCGCAACCGTGATGGCGCATGGTGTTGGGCGGTGGTTTGGCTGGTCGGCTCCGGTTGGGCGGTGGGGTTTGGAGTGCGCGAGAAATCCTTGCCGGTTCGTCCGGCTCCGATGCGGTGACCCGGTGGGTGCCACTATTCCTTCTTGAAGGTTGTCGGTAGTAGCCATCCCCCACCTCCCTCCGCGTATTGGAGGAAACCATTGGACTTGTCCGGGCAGCAGCGTCGTCGGCGTCGCATCCCTTCTTGGAGGTGCTGCTTAGTTCGCGGTAGATCGGAGCTTCGGGTTGTGGTGGTTTGTTTCCGAAGGGTGCAGCGGTCGCGGGTCTTCCGTGCTTTGTCGAACTGCCGCTGTTGGTATTTGGTTCTTCTTCTTTTTCTTTTGGGCTCGATGTGCTGTTCGCCCCAGCATTGCGATGTGTACAATGGTGGTTTGCTTTGAAATACAAAGCGGGGGAAACCCTTTTTCGGTAATATTAAAAAAAAACTGGGCCGATCGTTGAACTCATCAACACATTGACATGAACATTCTTTTTTTGTTTCCGTACGTCTCTGCCATCTCCCTCTTCCCCAAGCTTTCATCTATATTCCTGATCCCCTTTCTTTTCGTGATCCCCCCGATCTAGGGTTATGACAAGCACGTGAAGGACTAGCAGGCGTGATGTTTTCTAGTACTAGCTTTTCTTCTCCTATTCTTTGACACCCTCGAAATAGAGCAGGGAGAAACATATGGACGGGAATGCTCTCGATTCGCATTCTCCCCTGGCCTCCAAAAGATCTCTAATTGTAAGCAATTAATCAACACCACCTTCTTCAATTCAATCTTATTTGGTTGTGTTTTTCATCAGAGCAATCAAATGTGAGCCTCCTCTTCCTTGATTGATTCTCGTGCGAGCATTTTTTTGTTGGAATGTTTGGTTGAGTTCTTTGGTCAGATCGATCAAATGTTGTGTACCTTGAAGCTCCGGAGCCTCGTCTTCCTTTGGCGATCTTTCATGATAGCACTGGTCTCGTTCATCTCCCATTTCATCTGGTAATCCATGCAACCCAACAACTGTCAATTGCCATACACCCAAATTCCCCATAAATAAATACATACATACGTACAAAAGAATCATCTCTCTTATCGACCGGGGACCCGGAGGATCACTCGTTCTTGTCATGCATCTTCATCACCGTTCACGATGGGATCGGTGGACTACTACGAGATCCTGAATGTCGACCGGAGCGCGACCGACGACGACCTCCGCAGGGCCTACCGGCGGTTGGCCATGCGGTGGCACCCGGACAAGAACCCCGCCGGCGACAAGGATTCCGAGGCCAAGTTCAAGGACATCACCCAAGCCTACAACGTACGCTCATGTTCATCCATGCATTCTCAGCAATGGATGGAATCTGCGTGTAATGCTTGATCGTTTTGCTTTGCGTGATCAGGTTCTCAGCGACGCCAGTAAGAGGGCAGTGTACGACCAGTACGGGGAGGAGGGGCTCAAGGGCCCGCCACAGCAGCCCGCCGACGACATCTTCGCCGAGTTCTTCGGCAGCACGCCCTTCACGTACTGCAATAACGCGCACGGCAGACAGCGGGCGGCGTGCCATGGCGGTGGCTTGGGACGGCCTCACGGCGCCAGAGATCAGGGCGTCGGGGCGCCACCTCCGCCGGTGGAGACCAAACTGGCGTGCACGCTGGAGGAGCTCTACACGGGTGTCACCAAAAATATGAAGATCTCCAGGAATGTCGTCGACTCCAGCGGGTAAATACTAAATACACAAGATGTTCTGTTTGGATGTTGATCAAATTAGTTTTGTCCATATTTTTGGATTTCGCTATAAATCAAACATTACATTTTTTACCATGGCAAATTGAACCCTTTTTTGTGGCAAATTAAGTTGTGGGAGGGTGGCAAATTCTTGAGGGACACATGGCAATATCTGGCAAACAAGGATTTGCTGCGAAAAATGTGGTGCCCGCTTGAAAAAATTGTCATGCTCCTCACAACATAAATTTCATAAAGAAAATATTCGATTTGCCACGCTTGAAAATATGATGTCATATTTTCTAACACTACCGAGATTTTATGGTACATGTCTCGTAGGAGGATGAAGACGGAGTCCGAGGTTCTATCGATCGAGGTGAAGCCGGGGTGGAAGAAGGGCACCAAGATCACGTTCCCTGGGAAGGGCAACCAGCAGTGGAACCAGCTCCCTGCCGACCTGGTGTTTGCCATCGACGAAAGGCCACACCACATGTACCGCCGCGACGGGAAAGACCTGGTCACGGATGTCCGTCTCACCCCCGCGGAGGCCCTGGGCACGGTGATCGTGCTCCCCACCCTCGACGGCCGAGAGCTGGCGGTGGACGTGGGCGGCGGCCAGGAGGAGGAAGCCCCCATGGTTTGCCCCGGCTATGAGCTCGTGGTGCCGATGGAGGGCATGCCCATCGCCCGCGAGCCCGGCCGTCGGGGAAGCCTCAAAATTCGGTTTGATGTCATCTTCCCGGACCGGCTCAAGCGCGATGCGTGCCTGCAGATCAAGCGAATCCTGGAGGCCGACGCGGCTTGAAGCCTAGACGTCTGGGAGATATACATATGTATGTTTTTTTTTCTTATGAAAAGCTTTAATGGCAGATTATATTATGTTTGTATAAATAGAGCTACATCACCCGCAACAGTGGTGGACCTAGCCCAATTTATTAGGGTGGGCCAATAACGAGTTTAGTTGGGTTTTTTCTACTCATTTATTTTCTTCATAGTTGTATGTGCTTGGCCAAAATCTTAGGGTGGGGCTCACCCCGGTCCCACCATGGGCCCCGCCCTACACTCTATTGCATCCGCCCTGACCTGCAATTACATGAACAAGAAAACATGATGGATCCATATTCGAGGTATAGTCTTGGGCATCCACCCTGGCCCGAAATTACATGGACTTGCTAGAACATGAGCTGCTCTAACAAGGAATAAGGATTATATGTTCAAAACTGTGACATAAAAAGAGCACTCTTTGTAAATTGCCGCAGCCGTTCCAATGGAGTTACAATCTTGTTGCATGATCTCAACGACCTCTGTGCAACCAATTTTGTTTAAGAATTAAGCCATTAAGGCGAGCACGAGCCTTAGCCATCGCGACATCATCGATTAATGGAATGTCGCTACTTCCCGTTGTGACAAAACGACTACGATCATCTATGATAATTGCGCACGTTCCTCCGGCACCAGTCATCATAGAAGGATGTGTCAAGGTTAAGTTGGTGTAGTCTTTCTTAGGACTTTGCCATCCATGCCGCACAATCCCCTGAAGATAGCTTCGTCTAAACTCTTATGTAATTTGTGACCAAAGCCACAATAGTATAGGCAGTTCTAGCCAGAGATTGGATTGTTTCGCCGTGAGTTACCTGGCGGTATTTCCACTAAACATACTAAATGATTGTAGCAATTATATCATTGTGAAATATCTCCGTCAAGAGAGGTGCTATAGCGGATTTGTCCCAAAGAAGTCTCTCTAAGATCGACAATTGGTCATCACCGATAGCACAAGCACTTTGAATTATATCATCAGCCCCAAGATTCATCCAGATATTCTTTACGTGCAAGAATTGGAACATAGCATGATGAACACTCACCAGCCACTCGAAAACTATCGGTTCACCAAAAGCATTTCTGAAAAGGATGAAGTTAGGTACCGGTGAATCATCCGCCACCCAAACACATCAAGATCCTCCCTATTAGCGGCTAATTCAATAAAGTATTACATTGTAAAGGGTATATTTTTTCTCTTATGATAACAATGTTAAATGAGTAGACTTGTGATGAAGAGGAGTTCGCCCGTGATGATATGTTGGAAACCGTACTTAATCATTTTGAAATTTGTTTTCATTTTTCTTAAAATCAATTATTTTTAGGACTATCGTGTGAGTACATTCTGGAAAACAATATATTTCTGTGATGTGGCTACATTTAGGTACTTTTCGTAAAGGTAAAAATCTAGGAAAATTCAAGTTTACTTTTGGAAGGATCGTGAAACCATGAGAGAAAACCGTTGGAGGGCCCCCATCATGCCCATGCGTGACTTGGTGGGTCCCCCTCATGGGTTGCGCAGAAGGAGAACCAAGCCCACGAGACATCTCCCATACCATCTTTCGGTCGAGGGTTTCGTCTCCCCTACAAAATGGACCACCTAGTTGTTTTGTGGTATTTAAATACTGCATGGCAAGCATCACTGCAAAAATAGAGGACAACAGATAAACATATCATGTCTCTGTAGGCATTGATACATGTATTTTTCATCATAACTCCTCGGGTCTTCCCCTACGTTTCCCAATTCAGAATAAATCATCATAAAAAAATTAGCTTGCTAATTCAATTTATTATTCAATCTTCCTATGCTCATTGGAACATGTAAGGACATGACACCCGTGACACCCCGCGGAGGGTCAGGCCCAATAAGGCGGTTTGGGTTTTCCTTTTTTCGTGGTTTTGGGGATTTTATGGTTTCCGTTTTCCTTTTCCTTGTTCTCTTTCTTTGTCTTTTATGTTTTCCTTTTATCCCTTTTCTCTGTATTTTATTTTTTATTGCTATATGTTTCCTTGTCTTGCTTTCTTTA